TAATTTTTTATTCAAATATTCAATCTGCTTTTATTGACAGTAGAGGATGCAAATCAAACATTTTTTTTTTTTGTCTTCAGGTTTAAATAAGTAAAAACGGTGCATTCGAGGTAGTTATATGAAAGTACCGAATTCAGGTTTGTCAATAAAACTGTGTTAACATACTTTTCCGTTTTTGTTACAACAGTTTTATTTTATATGATTACAATCAGTAGTCCTGTTTTTTCAGGAAGCTGTATATAACGGCTCTGATGAAAAAAATAGAATTTGTTAAATTATATTGAATGAACGTAATGGTAGACCATTATTGAAAGTAAATTATTTAATTTTATCAGCTATGAATATACGTTATACTGTCCTTTTGAGCTAATGTAAATAGAAGGAATTAAAAATGGTTTCTATTCCACAATAGACACTATTAACAGCTAAAAGATTAATTACTAATTAAAAACATTTTCACTGACACAAGCCAATATTCATAGTCAATATGATAATCATAAGAGTAACAGTTGTGTATAATAGTTGATCAAATAGCTATTGAACACAAATATCATCAGAATTTAATCAAATCAGTGAAAACAATGATTATGATGATAAAATATAATACCGTAAAGTTTCATAATGAGACCAACTAGTATTGTATCAAAAATGCGAAAATATTGTAACATAAAATGTTATATTATGCGAAAATAAACTTCCACTAAGCCATTAAATTCTTGTCTGAAAAAAATTAAAATTAAACTATTTATGTCTAAAATTCAATATATACATTTTACAAACTTGAATGAAGAATTTTTTAACCGTTATAGTATATAAATAGTATAAAGTACTATTTTTTAAACTTTTTAAAAAACAAATAAAGCAAAATAATAAAATATCTACTCAAATTTCAGAACACAGTATGGTCTAGATATCTGAATAATATTAAGTGTTTTTTTGTTATAATAATAAATATACACATAATTAAACATTGGAGAGATTTTCATACTACATGTTGTATATACATGTTTTTCATATTCGATCTGACCAGAGAAATTCACATGGTCCAAAATTGAATCTTATTAGGTTATATATTGGTGTAATTTAAATATACTTAATTAAATAATAGTGAACCACTCACAATTTAACAAATCGTTAGTTTTTCCATCACGCGGAAACTGTATAGCAAGATATTTAGTAACTGATATATTTTTTAAGTTAATTAATCAAATTTTATTTGATTTATCTACTGATAAATTATGTATTCAAGTGTTAGTTATCATTATTTTTTTATCAGGGACTTTTTAAATTTGAAGCACATTAACACTATCATAATATAACTATCAGTTTCATGTAGACAAAGAATCAATAATATTTTTTCTGGCATTATTTCTCATTGTAAACTGTCATGAGCATATATATATATATAAATATATGTATCATAATTGGTATGGAAGTCTATTGTACAGATCTTTTTCGCTGGTAGTGCAAGATGTAACAAATTTTAAATCATACACTAACTCCTTCAATAACTAATAATAAAATATTATTTTATAAAGTTATTGAAATGATTAATTTTTGTTCAACTCACTAACACCTGTTTCAGTTTATCTATTGTATTTCTATCAAATTAACCCAATATAATACTTAATAATTATATGTAATATATAAGTCAATCATACGCTTAGTATAGAAAATGTCCTCGTAAAGTCAACGTTGCGCTCTAGTGTAATATCAGAGTAATTTAGTATAAATAAATTACAAAATACTAAATGAGTTAAATTAGGTAATTGTTAGTTTTTGAAGTGTAAAATATTTATGCAAAAAAAATATCTTACGATCTATAACAGATGTGAGATTTTTGAAATGGTTCTTAACTTAAGATTAGCCACACGTTTAGTCTAATATATCAATCTGCAAAAATTCAGAACGATTTATTTTATCAAAATAATTATAAATGTTAAGTACTCAGGGCTGTATTTCAAATGTTGACCCCCTGAGGCAACACTATTTTGCCACTCACTTTTCCTAAAGTGCAAAACTGAAAAAAAGTTTCTTCAAATATTCATTAAAAAGTCGCTAGCAATTAATTTTCTCCATTTCAGTATACTATTACACAATATTTGTAATTAATATATAATAATAAACTAATTATTAACTGAGTTTCAATCAATTAAATAAAGTTATAAAAATTGTCTTTTATAAGACTGATTTGTGGTACCCTTCAGTCTGAATATCCCATCCCCATACAAATCAAAATTAAATTAGTACTTATACCTCAATAAAATACCATGTAAAATAAAATACTCTAGATACACATTTTATACGCTACTAAATACTCGTAACATAAATCATTTTTCATATAATTTTATTTATTTATCATTCAAAAATAATTTTCCATTGAAAATGCGGAAAAATTGATTTGTTTTTTATTTAAAATCACTGTATATTTTTTTCACCCGTTTAAATATTCAGAAGGGCTATTACCTTCCTGAACCTTCCCTCCCTTAAATACGGCTTTGTAAATACCTATGGATAAAACTTAATAATATTTCGTGATTTGTTTCGTGATTATAATAAATTCTTTGAGAAAATCGGAACTACGAGACGAGACGTAACTCTTAGACGTATCTAAAAAAAAAAAAAAAACCATATCGCTTCAATGAACAACAATACAAAACTTTTTGTGTTGATTTACAACCGGAAAAAGTGTAGAAAAAAAACATTATTATATAAAATCAATACATTTCTTGCTATGCTCGGAATCTAGAAGTGAAGTTACACCTCTCGTTCGTACACGGTTTTGAAACCGACGAGAAATGTGTATTAATTATAAATAAAGTATCCCAAGCAATAAAAATAAATTATGCTGCAACCTAATTTTAGTTGTTCAACACATTTGCTGTAGGCCAAAACCAATGAGCGTATTATGCAGTAATGTGTGTAAAAATGTAAATATCGTATTAACGAGGTTTTATTATGAACATACACAGTAACGAATCTAGAAATTAAAAAAGGGGGGCTAGTAAAGTAAGTTACTGCCATAGTTTGTTGCGCATGTCGATTTGTACAAAGTCTTTCTTATGTCCAATTTTTAAAATATTTTAAGTACCAACGTCCGATATGGTTCTACCTAATTTTAGCCCCCATAGCCTTCCCCTTGTTAGGACCGCACCCGAACATATACAAATATAGTCATTACATATTTCTTCAACAGGAATAAATTTATATTTCGTACAGTTTTATAGAAATCAAATTATCTAATTATTATGTTGAAGATCATAATATAACGATATCACAACCATTATAATATAACAGAAATTTTGTAATGTAATAATGATTTTATTTATCTTGATATCAAAATGATTGTTATTACCAACTATTTCTGTTCAAATTTGTTCGCGGTAACAATTATCTAAGAGAATATTACTATGATTTATTTTATTCATATTTATTCGGAATTCTATTTAATGTAGACAATGATAAACATAAAAATATAAACATTATCTCTTTTTGATGGAATTCTTTAATTCTTTATACTCGTTTCATGATTCACTAGATTAAAATAACGGTGTAAAAATATCAAGTATCCAATACCAATAGTTGTATATTATATATGTATTTTATTTAAAGTTTATATGATCAGAGCAATACATTTACTTTTTTTTTAAGTGTTCGCCTACAAATAAAAATATATTCTATTGCTAAAAGCAATGATATAAGTTTATTTTTTATGTTAAACACTTTCTACGTTTAAGAAACAATGACCAATTGGATGTATACAACAAAATGTGACTTAAACATAGGCGTAGCCAAACTTCGTGTTCAAGGTATGCAAGAAACAAGCTATGTACAAAAGTGAATTTATAAAGCAAAATAGCAGTTTTCAAAAAATTAGAATATAAATTTTTATTTCCGTAGGCATTCAGGGTATGCAGTTGCATATCCTGCGGCCCCCTTGGCTACGTCTATGGGCTTAAACGAAATAGTGACGTGCAAGAATTTTCCAAATTTTTATTAAAGTTAATGTTCATTTCTTCTCGCTCAATGACAATGCTCATCCTTGTATAAATAATTTACTCGCCAATTTAAAAATATGTTTCTAATATGTTAACTGAAAATATTGTAGTTTCCACCCACAGAGATTTATAAAAGACGTATGACAGAGTTCCGAGAGAATTTTAAATTTAGCATTAATGAGAAATGAAGTCCGAAAAATATGAATATATATTTGATTCAAGATATATGTGAAGGTTCAAAAACTTGTGTAAAGAGTTTGTGTGAAATAACAAAAGATTTTAACGTAGGAGTTGGTGTGCATCAGGGGCAGGGCCGTTCCAAAAGGGGGTTTTGGGGGAATGTCTCCCCCCCCCCCCCCAACGAAAACACCAGTCGGCAATCGGACTTGTTTCATTATAGTCTAAAAGGACCTAATTTTATTTACGGAAAACAAATATTACATTTTTCCTTAATACAGTGTATACACGAATAACATTTATATAACTACTTACTATACGAGTAAAATATAAAATATTATTATATATATATATATATCTGTATATATAAAAATTTCGTGTCACGATGTATGTTCGCGATAATCTCCGAAACTACTGGACCGATTTTGATGAAATTTTTTACACCGTGTGTAATTTGGTCCAACTTAAAAGATAGGATAGTTTTTATTTCAATTTTGAAAAAAACGTTTCCCGAAACCCTTTACCAATGATACTATTACGGATATCAATGGTTATCCATTGTATCGCCGCAGAGACCCTGAGCATGGTGGTCACACATTTACAATGCGAAAGCCGAATTCTATAAATGAAGTTGAAATTGATAATCGGTGGGTAGTTCCGTACTCGCCATTGCTGTCAAAAGCGTATAAGGCTCATATTAATGTCGAGTTTTGCAGTTCCGTCAAATCCATTAAGTACATTTGTAAATATGTTAACAAAGGTAGTGATTTGGCCGTATTTGAAATACAAGATATAAACAAAAATGACGAAATAGCAAGATATTAAATGGGTAGATATATAAGCAGCAGCGAAGCTATCTGGCGTATTTTCAGTTTTCCCATACATGAAAGAGAACCTTCTGTCCAGCATCTTGCAGTACATTTTGAAAACAGTCAACGAGTATATTTTACCGAAGAAAATATTTTCCAAAGAGCATTTGAGACACCGAAAACGACACTAACTGAATTCTTTACATTATGTCAAAAATCTGATGTATTCGACCAATTTACAAAAACATTATTATATACCGATGTTCCACGCTATTTTACATGGAATAAAATAGGGGAAAAGTGGGAGTCCCGTAAGCAAGGAAAATCACATCCATCGATCCCAGGCATATTTAAAGTTAAGACATTGGGACGACTTTACACTGTACATTCTAAACAACGTGAATGCTTCTTTTTGCGTTTATTGCTGGTGAATATTCCCGGACCAACATCTTTCGAATATTTGCGAACAGTGAACGATCGAGTGTTCAATACATATCAAGATGCTTGTTGTGAGTTGCAACTACTGGACGCAGATAATCATTGAGACTTGATACTTGCTGATGCAGCATTGACATCTACACCGAATAATATTCGTCAACTATTTGCAATAATTTTGACAACATGTTTTCCAACACAATCATCGACTCTGTGGGAAAAATATAAGAATTATATGACTGAAGACATACTGCATCGAATTAGACGAACAAATCAATGTCCAAATTTAGATTTCACACCAGAGATGTATAGTGAAGCATTAGTGTTGATCGAAGATTTATGTATTTTAATTTCAAATTTGCCACTTAGTCATTATGGAATGTCATCACCTGATCGCCCGGTTAGGTACTTTTAATAATAGATCGGATAAGTGGAGATTAACCCTTGAAGGAAAGAATTATTATATATTATATATATTTATATTGAGAATTAGTAGAAATAAAATAGAGTATATAGAGTATAACTTTGGAGGAAAATATCAAGAATTTGAGGGTATAAGGAGACCATTGATAATAAGTGGTAATGTTATAGGTGAAGTCAAGAACTTTAAATATTTAGGATAATTTGTACTGAAGGACGGGAGTTTTGGCATGGTTGTAAAACATAGGATTAAGTGCGTTTAACGAAATTGAGAGAAGCGTTGGGCATTTTATGCAATAATAGAATTCCAATGAAACTGAAAGGTATATTTTACAGGAGTTTAGTGAAACCAACTATGCTATTAGGTTCAGAGTGTTAGGCTCTTGATGGGAGAATATAACAGAATATGAGTCATGAGGAAATGAAAATGATTAGATGGATGAGTGAAGTAACAAGAAAAGATGGAATAAGGAACGAATATGTGAGAGATAGTATTGGTGAAGCGTCTATAGTGGACAAAATGAGAGAAAATAGACTGAGATGGTTTGGGCATGTTAACATAAGACGAGAGGAAACAATGCAGTAAGAGTTATGAAAATTAACGTTGAAAGGAAAAGATCAAAAGGAAGACCAAAAAAGAAATGGTTGGGAACGATTGAGAATGATATGAGAGCCAAAGGTGTATGCATAGGGGATGTAGAATGTCATGACGAGTGGAGGTTTTGGACAACGGTGGCCGAAACCAAATATTTAGGTGAAAGGCGAAGGAGAAGAAGATTGTTATTTCCACCCATCACTATCCACCCAACTAAACGAGACCTCATCTCAAACTTATCAACTCACCATTTTTTTAATATTTCCTATACCATGGAAACGTTAAAAAGACATACATAAAGATAAACACAACTAACCACTGCACTATTAACAATTATGGTACGCAAGATTGTTGAAATGTTGAAAATAATTCGATGTTAATTAGTTTTTTCATAAATTCGTCCAAGCCTAACACAAAAACAAGAATAATGAATAATAAAACATTAAAAATCATTAATGCTAATATGTGTGATCTTTTAACACCTACAGTAACTTCAGGCGCGGATCCAGGGGGAGGGTCATGGAGGTCACAACCCCCCCCAGAAAAACATCAAGATTAGATCCTTTGTGTTTATTTAAAAATCAAAATATGCATAAAATGCGTTTTTAATTTTTTTCAATTAGATTTTTTCTTGCAATAAAAATATTATACAACATATATTTATATACATTTAAACTACATCACCACTTGTTCATAAAATCATAATTTCCATCCAACTTCTAAGAATATTAATAGTGATTATAAACTTATTGATAGACTATAATATTGTTGGCAAAGAAATATAAATATTATAGTAAATCTGCGGAAATTTTTGAATGTCCTACCTTCGACGGAAAGGTAACTTATCTTAGATAAGATTACTGTCAATTCGTTGGCTGGTATCGAATTGGTTTCCGTTTAACTACGCATATTTTCCTTTTCAATTTTACAGGCTTAAGATTGTCAACTTTAAAGTAGGCTTGGTTAATATGCGTTAATGTATGTTAAAAAAAAAATGATAAAAATGTAAAATTTTAAATCCTTGATTTGGAAGTCAACTAGTCATCACTTAGGTGTACGAAATACAAATAATAAAATATAATAAATACATTTTAAAACCACTGATTTGCAAATTTGAAGCTAACTTTCTTTATATATTAAATTCTCGTAATCTTCTCATTAATGTACTCAGTCGTACAATTTGCCAAGTATTTGTTATTTATTTCCTGTTTGCTAGTAATTTGCTAGTATCTAGTAATCAATATTAAATCTATTATATTTCTATACTCTATCTTGTCACCTAACCTGTACACAAACGGGAACCAATTCGGCTATACCTAATAAAATACCTTTTTCAAACGGGAACCAATTCGGTTACTTTCAATCCGTTACCTGTATGTTTATATAATATTATACCATATACTTGCTATGGCACCGCTAATCGCTAATTTAGGTTCTTATAACTTGTTAAAAAATACTATACATGCGATCATTCTCTACTCTCAGGCGTTTTAAGGATTATGGCTTCGTTTAAACATGGGAAAGGAACGTTTTCTTCAATATTCACAAGAATATACACATAAATGTTGATAATATTATTTCTAAATTTGGAAAAATAAAACAAAGAAGATTAAACTTTGTTATTTAATTTTAAAAATTAACAATTTCATATATTCATAACATTCTAATTTGAATTGATAATTTACTTTTATTGTTTTGTAATTGTGTATTATCTTGTTGTACTTTCGAAAAAATGACCTCCCCTCCCTAATTCGAGTTCTAGATCCTAGCCTGAGTAACTTGGAGTTGAAATAAGTTGAAAGGTCAAGCTTAAGTAATTTATTACCCTCCGAGAATTGACCGCTTTTCAGTAGTTTTTTCTTACCAGTCCCAAAGACTAATAAAGTTCTAACACATAACTCGTCTGCATAGTTCAAATGATGATACCACATTTAAAATTTCCACATATGATATCTATTACAGTATTTTAAAATATTTTTTATGCAAATGTGAACTTGCATACTTTCAAAGAAAAAAGAAAGATTCCTACGCTGAATTTTCATTTATTGACATTTACAGAAAAATATTGTATTTCGAAACATGAAATTAATGAATATAAGTATCTCACAATATTTTTGAATACACGAAAATGCAAATTTATAATTAAAAAATAGTTGATGCTCGTTCCAGTACTCGATTTAAGTGGAATTCGAATGATCTAATTAACATGAAACGACAACGACGGCTAAAAATGATAGAATTCCTGAGCGAATATAATATAATATGTATATTGTATATTAAATTTTGCACAAAAAATTCTACACATTAATACATACAAAAAAAAGGCAACGTAATGTTACATTTGGAAATTAGTAGTATTTTTCCTCGCTCATCATGTAGAAAATTGAAATATTTTCATAGGTATCGATTCGTGACTATGATGTAATGTTTCAATATTAATTATTTCTTCCTAATAATTTAATTCGTTAACTTTCTACATTTTTTTTTTTTTTTGGAAAAACACTAAATAATCACTTTAAAAAATTAGTAATTCAGTTACATCACCCCTATGTCATTTGATTATGGTTGGAAAAATTTTCTACCTTCAATTATTATATAAAGAACAGTATATTAATTTATGCAATGTCAATAAATGTACTTTCAGGATTTTTTTTTTTTTTTTTTTAGGGCGAATATAAGTTCCTACACGAAAGTAGCAAATACAAAAAATACACACGTTAGTTCCTACACGATAGAAAAAGGTACATATATAAGTTCCTATACAGTAAAAACCAGGTACGTATGTTAATTCCTACACGGGGCAGTAAAAGGTAAAATTTAAAATTATTTAAAACTAACAGTTGTTTGCCTTTTTCACTCAAGATGAATGATACATTCTCGCTCATTGTGACTGATATATACGAATAAGTTCGGACACAGGGATGATTCGAACAATACTAACAATACTTTTAAGCTAGATGTACATTTTACGGTGTATGATTATAACCACGATTAAAGATAAAATATTAAAGATCTTATTTTTAATCGTGATTATAACAAATTATAATATTATCAAACCAAAATCAAGTTCTGTATCATTTTTATCTGTAGGAAATGAAAAGTCGTAGGTACCTAATAATAGGATATTTTATTTTTCCAACGTCGAGTCGGGATACTATTATTAGCCTGTAGCTTGTTGTATTTTCCTGTAATTTCGTATACGTTTTTCAGATATTCAAATATACTATACTCTATATACATACTACACTATAAAAATATTTTCAAGCTCTACTTATATTGAATTTATTGATTTCTAATTTCGATAATTGTATTTTTTTAACTTACCTATGTTATTTAATTATTTGTGAATATTTATTTTAACTGTTTGATTATATTTTAATCAAAATTAATACAATAACCCTAAATAAAAATGATAAATATTTCTATTTCTAAATGTCGTTAATATTTTTGATAATAATAATTTTCATAATAAAATTGAGCGTTAAGTTGTGTATAACATATGATTATTAAAGGACATATACGAATCATTAGATACTCAATAAACTAATAGAATTTGTTTACCACTTATAATATTTATCATATAATGTAAATAAATTAAATAAAAATAAATGTCAATAGTTATTTCACATTATGTGTAATTTTTGACAGTCTGATGGAAATAAATTGTAAAATAAATATGATGTTGTTAAACAAGACTTTATAAGACTAGAAACTACCTAAATTTACTATATTGGGTAAATAGTAAATATTTTAAGATTTCAAATTGAATGATATTTATGTATTGTAGTGTATTTTTAAAACGATACCATGAAAGTAAAATTCAACGCCATAATAATGTGAAAGAAAGACTGGTTTTCGCACATATATAGTATTTTATCAACAATACATTTTCAAAAACTGTTGAAGAGACTTAGTGCAGAACTTATAATGTGCGTGTACCTATCACGAAATAGTTACTATGTTAGATAAAATAAATAAAATGATATATAGGTTTTCATAGCATTCGACAATAAAATAACAAATGATTATCCAAAAAACTTTCAACAGTATATTATTATCGCATTGCAGGTGTAAATGAGTACAATAGTGCTCTA